AGTACATATACATGTATCATTACATGCATCTACATATGTATGTATGTATGTATGTATGTATGTATGTATGTATGTATATACTTACATACCTGTAGATGTTGGTTTACTTGCTTGTTAAATCTACACACATATGCACACACATGTAGACACGCACGGTTTAGGAAACCGTGAAAGATCCTGACAAAACCCATATAGCGACTACATAAAGCTCTGTAAACCCCCAAAGAGTTCTCTAAGTCCATATCGACAGGTCGACAGTCCCGGTTCGAATCCTGTCCGCACAGCGCCTTGGCCGTGGCTGAATGTAGGGCCCAGCAGCTTGATGCTTTGGGATTTCAGGGTTCATGATGCTGATTGTGCTAGAAGGGAGTTATGAGTGAGAGTACTCTACATAAGGGTATCGCAAGGGTACTGCAAGGGTACTATACAGGTTCTTGTGGGCTTGAGGGTTTAAGGGTTAGCCTCAGAAATTTCAGGCGCAGAGACAGTTCCAAGTGTCTTTTGTTAGACTTTATAGCTAAGGCTACAGCGTCTTTAGGGTTTAGTGGTATACAATTTGTTCAGGCACCTTGCTACAAGGGTTCGAGGTCTACCGAATTGCGTAGAGATATGGAGGCGGAGTGGCTTTCACTGTATCTCAAGAATCTGAGATATGGAGGGTTTCTAAGAGTCTATTCGGGGCGCACCTTGAAGCGGAGCGCGCCCATCGAGATGTTGTTTAAGGGTTGCTGAGCTTGCGGTTGTTGGGATAGGGCAGGTCTTTGGTGCTGCAGTGCAGTAGATGAAGCCATGGAAGGGCGAGTTTTTCTCCGCTTTCAATTCCTTCGAAGCAGGATTCCTTCTTGCATCCGCCGGAAGCTTGAACGCTGCTCCTCGACCCGAACTCCCTAGCAGTATCAGATGGAATCGGCAAAGCACGGAAGTTTTCTCCACAAGGCAATGAAAGAAGCGCGTGTGGAGTATATATATATATATATAGAGAGAGAGAGAGAGAGAGAGAGAGACAGGCAGAGAGCGAGCTCAGGAGTGTTCGCTCCGAGTCCGGAGACACGGAAATACCGACATGCTTCACTGCTCATAGCCTACCGCGTAGCTCGTGGACATTACCGTTCTAAAAGGCCGAGGCGAAAAAGATCCTTAACCTTCCAAGCCTGCAGCCTTGTAAGCCTCCTTAAGGACCAAATGACCCTTGACAGTAGGGGCCCTATACCCCTATACTATGAATCCCTATATGGTATACGAACCCTAAACCCTTTCAGGGTTCATTTCGTCTTGAAGGCTTTGTCGCTGAATCATTAATCCTCGAGTCCCCGAGGGTAAGATGATATGACCAGGAGATATATCAGAACGCATAAGTGTTAACAATCACAGGCCCGTATTTCGACGTGTACTGTTCTGAACAAATCCTACAGTATCGTTATCGTACGTTTATAGTACCGGCATAGTATCTTAACAGTACCCTTATAGTGCCCAAGTCTGTCATCACCCACCTTGCTCAGGGCCAGAGGCCGATGGCACCGGCGCACCTCCACACGCAGGTGCTCGGGGTGCCTTAGGGTTTGGGGTTGGGGTTTAGAGTACTTTGATTTTGGGTTTACTTTTGGAGGGGTGGGGCTGACACGCAGACACACATGCACTCATGTTCCTCCGTCCATCCATCCCTCCATCCGTCCCTCCCTCCGTCCGTCCATCCATCGCCATCCGTCCATCCATCCATCCATTCGTGCATCCATGCATCCATCCATCCATGCATCCATTCGTCCATGCATGCAGATATACGTATACAAGGTTTTGATCGGGACATGCCGATACTTGGCGGTAGTAAAAACCCGCATCAGGTTCGCCGAGCCCGATTGTCCTTTTGCCTACGGGCCGCCGCCGAAGGCCAGCACAGTGAATGGAACGTGTTGAGTAGTGGAGTTTCTCATTCAGGGTTCTTGGGTTTAGGCTTTGGTATGTCTGCTTCAGGGTTTGCAGATTAGGGTGCAGCGCTCAGAATCGAGATCTAGAGTTTAGGAGCGCGGCCTTTCGGGCTTGCAAGTTTCGGAGCAATCTGCCATCGCAGGATTTGTGACCTTGGAGCTCTGAGATAATCACCAGGACTCTAAGACCATGCTTGAGATCACTTGTTCTTCCACAAACCCTAATCTCTCTAGTCCGATCCTTGAACCGTAAGCCCCAAGCTCTACATGAACCCTCGCAGAACGGGCCACAAACCCTCAGGTTTGCTAGTGCTGGAGGAGAGAACCGGAGGTTTCGGGCTTTCACATACTGCAACACCGGCTGCGTGGAATTTGTCTCGTCGCGCATGGCTGAGAAAGTTGCTATGGTCCGCCGTGTCCCCCGTGCCAGGCGTCGCCAAGGATCTCCGGCCGGAAGCACCCCCGCCACGGGGCCCGGAGGCGGCGGTTTTGGGTTTATAGGGTAGGGTTTAGGGTTTAGGGCTCATAGGGTTTTAGGGTTCTGGGTCGGGCAGCGCGCTGTCAGCTTCCACAAACTTCGATAGGGTTTTTTACTGTAGGGTTTAGGATTCTCGTTGTGACACTCCAGGCGAAGCAATAGTAAATAAGACTGCTCAAAAAATCTGGAGCACACAAACACCTTCAGGGCTTGGGCAGTAGGGCTGGGTGTCGCGATGTGGGCTTCCAGCGAGGTATGCCTTTCCAAACGAGTGTGCCTCTCAAGGGCTGTGGTGCCTCAGGGTTCGAGTCTTCGGTCCTGAACCGGTCATTCGTCTGCCGTGTCTTGTGCCGGAAGGTGGGAGCGCTGCTTAAACGAAATCCAGAGGTTTTAAGTGGAGAAAGCACCAAATCCTTCCCAGACCCGCTTGCCTGCTGGCCCAGCCGCTGCGGATTTCCAGGCCAGTGGCCACGGCATGTGGCGGTTTGGGTTAGCTGCAGATACCTGCATCAAAATACCGGCCCTTAGACATGTGCATGTATACATATGGATGTATGTACGTGCCTGCTCTGTTCAAGCATCATGGTATCATACGGCGTGCATGCCTAGTAATACAGCACGCAGCTTGGTAAGCATTGCATCTACATGTGCATATACATACAGGTGCATGTACCTGCAGTTTCCTCTTGAGTGCGAGAGTGTATGTACTTGCTGGAGCTGCAGCATCAGCATCGCCATCGGCATCGTCGTCATTACCATCATCTCCTGATCACGGCGGCGAGCATCACAGCTCGCAGTTCATCATCACCAAGATCATCGTCATCACCACCATTACTAACAGCAAGTTCTGCACCACCACCATGATTTTCAAAGACCACCTGTATGATGTTGAAGTTCAGGTGCATGATCCACCGTTCGGGACGCTATGTCATAATGAAGCGGTGTAGGGTACAGAAGGATTGAGCCTTTACAGTAGGGCTCTACAAATCCTATGAGGCCCCCCCAAATTAAAGCCATAACACCCACAGCATCAAAGCCCGTCCCAGCACCTCAGGGCGCCTGGGGAGCCTGGGGAGAGGGCCATGGTTGGGCCGAAGGCTCCCCCGGGGGTGCATTTTTTTTTCTCGGTTTTTTTGGGGCTTGTTGGAAAGGGTTTTCCTTTGGAAGAGAGTTGTCAAGATGAAGGAATAAAAGTTATATATATATATTATATTTTGTATATCTATATATAAATGAAGGATGCTTGTATTTCGGGTTTGTACACAGGGGTCTATAAGCATTTGGAATGTTGACTCCGGGATTTCCAGGGGGTTTTGGGCCTTTGAGGGTTTCGGCTTGAGGGGTTTTCAGGGGTTGGGGTTCAGGCTTATAGGGTTTTGGAGTTGAGGATTCAGTGTTTAGGATTTGGGATTCGTAGGTTTACGAAGTTGAGGATTCAGGGTGTGGGAATTAGGGTTTAGAATTCTGGGAGCTAGGGGGGTCTGCTTTGGGATATACTGCGGCATGGTTGCTTCGCAAGTTAGTTAGTTTGGGATTCAGGTTTGTCGCGCAGGTTCAGGTTTGATGCAGTGGAGGGTTTAGGATTCAGAGCTTTGCAGTTCTTCTTTAGGCTTTACGGATTTAGGGGTTTTGGGATTCGCCATGTAGGGTTCAGGGTGTTACATAGGTTCCAACGTTTATATAGGGGTTCAGAGATTCTGGAGCATAAGCTTGTAGTAGTCTGCAGGTAGTAGCTGTAAGAAGTCTGTGACCGTGGGTCGAGTCATGCATCCGTAATGATCCTTGATCTACAGACCCGAAGCACGGAAAGCTTAAGGTGCCAGAACTCGCCTTGCTTGCAGAGCGATGGGGGAGAACTTTTGGGGTTTAGGTTCAGGTTTTCAGGATCAGGTTATAGAGGGCTGCAAATGCGAGCTTGAAACCACACGAAGCTTACACCCTGAAGACTCGACTTAAAGTTTCGTCCCTACGCCCTGCCCTAAAGCCCCCGAACCAGCATTCCATGTGAGAACAAACGGCTACCGAGGCTATGACGAATCCGGATGGCCCGCATGGGGCAACGACGAGTGGGGGGATGGTTGGGCTGAGAATCACATGGATGCTGGGCTCCCACACAGGATAAGCGTCGTGAATGTTCTGTGGAAGGTCATGAGTCTTGCAAACGCGATTTCAGGATTGAAGCACTGCTTTGAGACGATAGCAAGCTTTAAATCGTGTCTTCGGCTGGACCAGACAAAGTTTTGAGCGAGGAGGCAACTTGAGAAATGTTCTAGCCAGCGATGCATGTGAAACTGCACTGTGTCGTTGTGCGGCCTGGTCGAAGATGGCAACACGGCAACACTGAGTATAGCAGAGCTCTGGTGACTGGTGACGATGAAGATGCTGGTTGATGTAGCTGTGAAGAGAAAGACTAAGTTGAATTAATTAGTTGGTGATCAGGGCAAGCACCATCACCAGCATCGTGATCTTGAGGATGACGGCCAGTATGATGCAAGCTACGCCGAGAACGAAGCAAGGGCTGCGTGCACTAACACGAAGCCTTATAACCTGCACAATACTGTAACTGGTGTCTGCCTGTGGAAGCTGCCCCTTTTGCTAAGGACGAGGGTCAGACCTTGGAGGAGCTCGGAGAAGAGCCTGATCTCTGGGTGCCCTGGCCTGATGGGAGCTTAGACCCAAAGTTTGTTGGGGTCATGGCTGTATTTTCCCCGCATAAATCTTCAGGATGCTTGGTCTGCATATGTGCTGCTTGTGGTTGGTGATGCTACCATCATGCACCCACACTACAGGATGAAGCTTGAACCGCCTAGCCTGCAGATCTTCAGGACATGCCGGACATGGCTGCGGCTGGGGATGCGCCGTGGTACGGTGGCTACGGCTATGGACCTCCAGGGGACGCTCCATCAGATGTCTGGCCGCAATTAGACTGGTTGCTTTCTTGTTCTGGCGACATGTCGAAGCATAGTGTTTCACCACCGAGATGATACCAGTCAGACTGGTCATGCATAACAGCATTATAGTATTAATAGCAAAAGTGGTTAACCAGTCACTGTTCCCAATGAGCAACAACAAGTGATCGAGCTAAACATCTACTTTCTTCGCTGCAGCTGATGCTGCCACGACCAGACCTGTTCCGTATCTCAGGATCGTACGCATTAGCATAGCCATTGTTACTGTTCCGGTGTGTCCTTTTTGTTTGTGTTACTCTGCCCGCTGTTCTAGAAGTGTCGTGCTATGTTATGATTTTAGTAGCCGGCTTGCGTATGCCAAGCCTTAGGTGTTAGCATCCGTCGCCGATTTGATTGAAACGCTGCATGTCCGGCATCTGCTTACCGCACGAATTCAACACCTAAGTAGCAGGTTCCGCCGGGCTATGGTGCATCCGCATGGCTGGCCGGTACCCAGGAGGCCATGTCTTCGTTTTATAGGCTTCACAGCGTTCTGGTTTTAGGGTTTAACATGAGCATGCTAGGCTTGAAGGGAAAGAGTGGTTGTCGCATTCGGACGTTGCTACGGTGGTTGAACTCAAATTGCTCTGAGTTGCTGGGCTTTGAACTTCGTAGCATCACGCAGAACCGATGCACCTGCAAGTAAGGACTCCAAACCGCAGGGGCAGTGCCGTGAACGGAGGTTCGTCAAAAGGCGTCGAATTCCACAGATAAACTCGTGAGAAAAATGCACACACATATACACACTAACTGAGTGGAAGGCACTGATTGGAAGACGTCACGACTTGGCAGTTCACATGCCTCATACAGAGGCCTGTCCAAACCTAAAGCTTCATTGTAGGTCTTTACACTCCTCATCTACTGCATGTATCGTAAGACCTGTCCCTCCGCAGACCCTTGGAGTGTTTTCAGTTTTGCTGTACGCGACATTTCCTGATAGGTCTTAGCGACGGAAGGCTGTGGGGAGAGATTTGATGTCCGCGGGCCGCACGCGTCCATTCGAGAAGCGTTTGCTCCTAACTTAACCCGAACCACAAACTGTAGCAATGATGTTGTTAGTTGAGAGATGACTAGAGTCACAACTCACATTACACAATCGAAGTTACTAGTATTTTCATCCGTGGGCATCTCAATTACAGCTCGAGTTCCTGGTGAGAGAATCCGAAACAGACATGCCAAGATGCCCATATACCAACAGAACCCTTATAGACTTATAATACCGTACCCCTGTTGCTACCCTCCTAGGACCTTTACAGTCACTCGCTCCACCTTCCCTATCCCCAGATCTTAAACCTTCGACTTTTCACCTTGCATCTTCAGTGTTGCACCTATACCCGAAACCGTTATAGAAAATTTAGAGAACCCTTTTAGAGCCTCTTAAAGCCTTAGTGAACCCTCATAGCAACCTTTGAGGCCTGGTATGGCATGGCTCAGAACCCTCCGGTCTTGCCGGCGGCTGCTCCAGGCCAAGCTAATATCAGCTTTACCTTCTGTGGGGTTTTGAGTTGAGTAGGGTTTAGGGTAAGGTTCAACTGAAAGGGGCTCAAACATGGACCGTGACTAGTGACAAGCAGAAGCCAGATGAGAAGGACCCAGAATTTGAATTGTTTTGAGAAACCACCCTTTGCAGGGCTGCCTGTCTTGATATGTTTGCTGTGAATGTGGTAGAAGATTTTTCTGCTTAGGTTGCGTGCAACGTGGTCCATTCAATTTCTAGTTTTTCGGTGCCATGAGAAAACCAGTGTTTTTGAATTTGTTGGCAGCATCTGGTTGCTGTCAGAGCATCTAGGGTTTAAGTTTCAATCCTGGTTGGATGAAGGCCTTGAGGCATTCAATGACGGTCCCAAAGGAGTGCGCACTGAACGGATCCATCTCGAACATGACCATGTAAACCAACGGTGCCTAGAACAGCCCATCGTACTAAATCCCAACCAACCGGGAACCCTGAAGCGGGAGCATTGTCACCTTCTACCCGGCCCCGAATTTGTGCAGCGACAAGAGCCGTAGAAACTGATCATACCTCCGAGGTACACAGGTATGTATCGTGTATTTCACATATAAGTAAGTCCGTATAAGTGTATGCATACGCACGTATGTACGTATTTATGTACGCATGTAATGTAAGTACAGAACCCAGGACAAGAACAGACCCCGAGTCTAAGAAACCCCCTCTCAAGCCTCTAGAACCTTTATTCCTTGAAAGTCATGTTTGAACCCTCGAATTCTGATAAGACCGTGAAGAATCTTGTAACAAATTAGAAAAATATTCGCTCAAAACTAGAGCCCGTCTGAAGCCCTTCTCAGACCATTAAGACCCGTTGAGCAGTCCTAAGAAGACCCCTCCTCAGCCCCGACATCGGAAGGCCTGGAGGCCGTGGGCTGCCTGGGTCCGCCCCCGGGACTCGCTCGGATGCCGGAGAGCCACCCCGAGGTGGGAACCCTAAACCCTAAGCCCTGAATGAGAAGATCATCGTCGTAGAAGCAGTGGCAGTGGTGGTGGTAGTTGAAGTGGAATTCGAAATGGTAGCAGCAGTACGTAGTAACAGTAGTAGCAGTAGCAGTAGCGGCAGCAGGAGATTGGGGTAGGAGGCTTCGCAAGCTGATTGTCCTGAGTCCGATGCCGGCGAGCATCCTGCAAATGTAGGTTCCTAGAAAAGTCGGTTAGAATTTTGGCAGCACAGTCATGGCTACACAAGTAACATCAATCAACTAAAGAGCAAATATACAACAGTGTAGAAACATCACAATAAGCAAGTGCTGCAAAGCACAAGCACATACAAACAGGGACGCCCATTTTTAAGAAAAAAGCACCTAAGGAAACAACAGCATGAGAACACAACCCGGTACAAGCGAGCGGGCTACCAGGTTGATGGCTGCCATCTTCCTTTGGTGGATCTGGCCTTTCTCGATGAGGTTGGGCGCTTTTATTGGGGGTAGCTCTTTGGGGGGTATAGGGCTATGGCTCCCCTTTTTGGGTCTGCGGTGTAGGGTATCGGGTTTGGTTCGGAGGATGTGCGTCTAGATGCGTCTAGGGTACACGGCTTGGCAGAGATCGTCAAAGGAATTGCCGGGTTGGGACTCGTGTCGTTTTAATGCACGACATCTCGGAGGCCCATAAGCATGAACTGCCCCCTTGAAGCGCTGGACTCAACACCTGGAAACCTAAACCTTCCATCACGTCATCGTGATCGTCGTAATGTTAAGACCTGCGTCCCGACTAGTCCAGCAATACCACTGGCAGCTGACGCCTCGGAATCCTAGCGGTAGCAGCGGCATTTTTTGTGAGGATGGTCGCATCATTCGCAGGTTTAGGATCAGCTACTCCACTTCCTAAGCATACGAGTTTGAGAAATGCAGGATGCCGACATGGATCCGAAGCCATCCATCGCGGGCCCCAGTGTGCTAGGTGCCAGCAGGCTCGGCGTGTTTCGGAGTCCCTGGTTTCTCTGCCTTTATGTGGTTGCGTGTTTCGAGCTTCGAGACGGTTGAACAAAAGAGTGGACAGAGAGAGTCCAGTGTGCTAGCTGTGGATTACTCATTGCCACTCATTGCTGTCACAGTTGTTGTGTTTGCGCTGTTGTTCGTGTTCCGCCCAGCAGGGTTGAGCTACAGTTCGTTGTTGAGAAGCCGTTTTCATGCCTCTCCACGTGGCCACAACTCCCGGAACCGTGGCCGTTGTAGATCTTGTGACAAGGCGTCCCCCTCCTCCCTCATGTTTGCCACCGCCACCACCGCGTGGGCATTGATGCGGGTGCTACTCAAGGACACGGTTCGGTATTGATCCTTGAGGCTTGAGCTTCAAGACTTGATGGGAACCTAAAACCTCGCAAATCGCTAAACCCCCAAACCCCGAACATCCTAGGCTCACGCCCCTTGGCTCTTTGAGAGTATTGCTTCCACAAAATGAGCGCAGAGACTAACAGATCTTGCGAGTTGATTTCCCGCGTGCTACAGATGACAAACAGCATACTTATATTGTGATGGTACTGATTACTAGAGGCATACAAGCATCGCGACATAGGCGACATGTATAAACAAATGAACCGCATGTTGTATGTATGTATGTATGTATGTATGTATGTATGCGTGCATGCACTTATGTACGCAGGCATGTATACATGTAAGAATGCATGAACGAATGCATGCATGCATTCATGCATGCTGTGTATACATACATACATACATACATACATACATAGATACATACATACATAGATTCATACATACATACATACATACATACATACATACCTATGTATGTATGTATGTATGTATGTATGTATGTATGTATGTATGTATGTATGTATGTATGTATGTATGTATGTATATATCCATATTCATTTTTAGATCTATTTTATGTATG